TTTGGTGTCTGTTTGACTTCGTTTTTATGAAAATTGTCAATTAAAGTGATAATATTTTCTACCATTGGGTTTAGAAGTTGTTTCAATTGTAATGAATAAATAAATAAATAATTGGAAAAAAAAAATAATCATATTGAATATCACTCGTTTAGCTTTGTTTTGCATGAAAATTGTCAATAAAAGTGATTTTTTTTACCAATGTGTTTAGAATTTTTTTCAATTGCCAAAAAGAAAAAAAAACCTGGAAAATATTTATCTTCCAAAACATCAAGAATTTATTTTCCTCAAAAATGTGAAAAATTTTACTTATCAAACACTATAAAAGTTGGAAAATGGAATTATGGAAAATGTGTTTTGTCAAAAGGGGCCTAAGTTATTAGGCCATTTCACTCGTGTACATGAACTTATAATTTTTTTCGTTGAACGTGAAACTCGGTAGTTATTGTGTTTGTAGACTATTCTCATTCTAAAATAATATGCCCATGTACGTTGTAGATTAAAATCAGGATTTTAGTAAATTTTGATAAAACTAGATGAGATGTGTGGTTTAAAAGTTGCGAATTCTATGAAATATGTGGTTAAAATTAATTGTTGACTTTGACTTGAAATTTTAATCTAAATCAAACATGGGCTACATTTTTGTGTTTGTGGAAAGATGAAGAGAAATACTAATCCTTCGTTTGAAAAAATTTATGGATCATTTATAAAGAGGAATAATAGTGAATCTCACAAAAGGTGTGAATAATAAATTAATGATAGTTATGAATGTGAAAAATTACAAGCATTAAGCATAGACAATGTAATTTTCAAGTTTTAAGTTTCAAAATTCAAAACTCTGGTATTAATTAATTAATTGAAGTTATTTTATTAATTAAATATATTAAAGTCACAATTATGCAATTAATGATCACATGTACGTACTTATAGGTCATAAAGTCACATATTATCAATTTAATTGGTCACAAATCAAAAAATTTATAGATCATAATTTATTTATCAGTCACAAAATTTCAAATTTAGTTGGTCACAAATTATCAAACTTTTAGGTCACAATTAAATATTTGGTCACAGATAACCAAATAGTTTGTCATATACACTAAATAGTAGGTCACATATCACGATCACTACTATCACCACAACCACCTGTGACTACACTCATCTCACTACCGTCATCAACACCACAACAACACTATAACACCACCAACACCAAAACCAACAAAACCGTCACACTAGATCTAATCCACTGCCAACAAAAACCAGCACAACCACCTCTATCAAATCTTCAGCCACCAAAAACTACCTCCACCAGGCCACCACCAACCACCACTCACATATTAACTATTTGATAGGTCACAATGTCTGAAATGCTAACCCACTCCAACAGAAACGCACCGCCACCGCTATTTTCAACCACCAACAACAACCTGCACCATTATCATCGTACACCACCACCACCACCACCACCACCACCACCAAAAACAACCATTTGCAAATTGAAAGCAAGTAAACAACCAACAATTAACATTAAAAGAACAACAAAAACTCTGACTATG